TTTATCCCGAGGCCTCTGTGTCCTGTTCCAGGGAAACCCTCTTTGGTGCTGCGGTTGGGTTAGACCTGCAGGTCATCAACCCGTCCCTAAGGTGATGCCTGCTGTGCCGTGATTTCCCCGCAGAGCTCTGCAGCCTTGGCCCAGCCTGGCCCCGTCTGTGCCGCCCCAGAGGTCAGGTCACAGGGAACAGTGTCTCTCCCCAGTCAGCCTGTGCGCCCCCTGGCTGGGCCCCTGGCCGATCGCATCTGTGGCCTCAGCTGGCCACTGGAGGGCTGGCCTGCGGGACCCTGGCCGGGAGGGCTGGGCTAAGGCTCAGATCTGGGCTTCTCTGTGCACCATGTTTAGCATCCCTCATGCCATCGTGTCAGAGTGCTGTCATGTTTGTCTGTGGTCAAGTAAAATGTAAAAGTGGAACTTTGGAGTCAAAGGTTCCAATTTTTAGAATTATAGTGAGGCAGCTTAGGTGATAAATGGTGTCTTCTCATCCCCAAACCCAGGTCCATAAAGCTCTGCTGACTGGATTCCAGGCCAGGCCAGGAGGATCCGTGGGGGAGGGGCTGGCATGTCCCCTGTATGGGAGATGGGACTGGCATTCCCAGTCATTCCCAGCTGCACTGTGGGCGTGCCTGAGAAAGCCAGGGAGCCTGGATCTCCTCAGAGGAGCCCTGGCTGGTCTGTGTCTCCATCAGAGCTAAGAGGGGGCCGGGGTTTCCTTGGGTGGGGGCACAGCACTGCACGCTGTAGCAGCAGAACCCGGCCACCTTCCAGCCGCAGGGAGCATGGTTTTGGTTTGGGGTCCCTTCATTTTCTTCCTTCCTCTTCCCCTTCACCTCCTCCCTCCTTCTGTTATCCCTATCCCCTTTCCCTTCTAGGCCCTCCTCCTCGACTTCCTTCCTTCCTTCCTTCCAAAAATGTTGCTATTTATTTGAAAACTGTCAGGCAACCAGACATAATTGGGATGACAGAAAGCAGAGGTCCCCACACTTGAGCAGGGACATGTGGAAGCCCAGATGGCTGCCGCCCCCCAGGTTCTGACTCAGGGGGCCCGGGTGGGGCCTCAGGTGCTGCATCTCCGACAGGTCCCCGTGAGGCCCCTGTCCTGGGAAGGACACTGTGACCACCATTGGTTTAAAGAGCCCATGTCCCACCTCCAGCCCCAACAACCCTCCCCTTACAGCCATGTGGACCCTACCGTCCCCACCCAGGTTGTGTTAAGGCAGATCTGAGCAAAACCATAGCATTTCATCCTCAACATTTGAATGTGTATCTCAACAAGGATGGTATTGGGCAGAGGAGGGAGGTTCAGGGCCCAGACCTCAGGCTGAGGCAACGAGCTGCGGGCTTGTGGCCACCACCTGCACGTAGGGGAGAGAGCGGCCTGGGACCCTGGGGCCATGCAGCCGGCCCCGGTCGGAGCTGCTGGTGACCAGAGCCTGGAGAGTCAGCCGAGGTCGGAGGATAAGCTTGGGCGAAGTCATCAAGGGAGCGGCCAGCACACTCCCACTGACAGCTGGCTGGGGTGTCACGATCCTGTGTCTAAACTGTGTTTTCACACCCTGAGCAGTCTATCCTTTGTCTCCTAAATTCCACAGATCCGGGTGCTTTCCTCCATTGTTGTCATCTCCCCTGAGGCTGGGGGTTGGGGGCGGGTAACACTGAGGCCTTGCCCTAACCCCGAAACCCCAGGGCCTTGGAGGGGGTGGTGTGTCCAGGTTTTGAGCATCCTGTGCATGCGCCTCAGGGTGGTGGCCGGGTGGGGTTCTTCTCCAGGGTTGTCTGGCCTCCGGGACCACGTGGGTCTCTTTGGGACTGGGGGCCTCTGACCTCTCGCAGTGGCCTCACAGCTGTGCCTCATCCTTGGCCTGCGGTCCAGCCAGCCCCGCCCGCTCATGTTCACGGCTCTTCCGTCCACCCAAAAGCAACCGCTTCTCACTTGCTGGGCTCCCCGCTGCCCTCCCCACCCCTGTTCCTGCTCCCGGAGAGATCTTTCTGTCAGAAGTCAGGCCCTGCTGTGTCCCCGCTTAAAAGCCTTCACTGGTTCTACGTTCCTTCAAGCTAAGGTTCCAGATACAGGAGCTGAGGGCTGGGCCTGGATAACCTGGAGCTGAGTCCCGCCCTCGGGACTTCCCTCCCGGCCAAATGCCCTTGCCCCACACTCCCCGGCGGCCCTGGCTCTCTTCCTCTTTGCTCCTCAGGGTCTGGCTTAGGGCTTCTGTCCCCCAGGAAGCCCTCCTGACACTAGCATTGGGTTAAGTTCCCGCCACCCCTCCACCCCCACTTGTCACTTGTTCACGGTCACCAATTGCTTCGTCTGCATCCCAGGACTCTCAAAGCGCACCTTTAAAAGTCCTTCCCGGGCCCTGGGCAGTGCGGTGAGTTCCTGTGGCCGGGCTGGTGACCTGGGCTGGTGACGGCTGGTGAGTGGTGGCCCCTGCAAGCGAAGTACAGAAAGTGAAAGTAGCATTTGGAAACTCTTCAACCCTCTGACATGGCTGTGACCTCAGCGTGCAAGTGTGTGTTGTACACAAGTGTCAACGGTGATGGATTTGCCATGCACCGAGGAAGCGCTGGCCCGAAGCCCACTGGCCCCTGAACCGCCGTCAGCAACTGGAGGGTGGGGCCCGGGCTCAGGCGACTGGAGGGGGTGAATTTGGGTTTGCATGTCACCTTGGCGGATCATTGCCATCTTGTATTTTGTTCACGTAAAGACTCGCTCATATCAGATACATTCTCGCGTGAGTGATCGTTATCTCCTGGGCTCCGTTTCATGTTCTTGGCAATGTCCGCGTCTTAGGAAGAACCGTGCGGTGAGGACTCCCGAGTTTCTCTTGGAGGATCTCAGGCTGGCGTTGGGGTTATTCTGCTGATGATAGCCTCACAGGGTGAAGTTACCTGTGCACAGGTTTTGTGCTGAAGGGCTGACCCGCAGGGGCCTCGGGCTCTCAGCCAGCGGCCCACAAGCATGATCCTTACCTCCTGCATCCTGAGTGCTTTGCTGTCCACGTACGAGTCCTGTGGGTGCTGCATAGGGCAGCGATGGCCAGGATTTGAAATTGCATGGAACTGCACATTTATCTCCTTTCTAAATCGTATTCTGTGGGCCAAGTTGATCTGTCTTCAGGGTTGGCTGGCTGGCTGTGTCCTTATGAGGAATTTATTTTATAACTTGGTTTTGTTCACGTGGTTCCTTTATCAACCAAGCTCATGTCCTTCAATCGGGGGTTGTCCTCAGGGATAGGACAAACTTGTCCGGCTGGACCTGAGGACCAGAGAGGACGGTGGACCGTGACGGAAACCCTTTGCTGGGTAGCTGGGGTCTGTTGGGACATTACCGCACTCCTGTCTCCCTCTGCCCGCCCGCACAGCCCCTTCCTCTTTCTTACATTCCACCCCCTTCTTCCTCCATGCCCTCCCTTCTCTTTCCCAGCCCCTCTCCCAGCCCCACCCCAATCCCAGCTGGTGGGCTGTGGCCGCCTGGTCTGAGCCGGTGTAGACACTAAGCCCACAGGCTGCTAGGTGGCGGCTGCCCTCCGTGTGAGCGTCCTCCTGGCTGGCCGCTCCATGGGGCTGGAGGAAGCCTGTAGCCAGTGCCAGTCTAATGGGCCTTCGCTGCCCTCCCCTCTCACGCTGCCCCTCACACAATGTTCAGAAAATTGAAAATGGCAGTGAGGAATCCACATGCTGACACAGCAGTGGTTTTGACACCTTGATTTGACACCTTAATGTGGTCGTGAACAAGCCAGTCAACCACTGACTGCTCAGCTGTGTGGTCAGTTTTCCTCTTAGATGAGAATTTAGAAAGAAGATGAACTTAATTCCCTACAAGCCTGGGATGGGGTGATAGGTGTCCCCTACCCCAGGACCCGCCGTCCCAGCATGAGCCTGCCACGCGGGAGCTCACCGCTGAGGAGACCCTGAGTGACCCGACACTCGGCCACCTTGCTGCTCGCTGGCCCACCGACCACCCCAGAAGCCAGTGCCATCCCCAGTGGCCCTGTTTTAAGGTTCTTCAGGGAACAGTGGGGTCGGCTGAAAAATGTGTCTACAGATCTGGTGGGAGAATTACGAGGGTAGCCCCGAAAACTAAGTGGATGGAAGGTGGAATGTATTTGACGCCAGGGGACCTGGACCCTGACAGGTTGTGCCACTTGCCTCCCGAATAGTGGGTGAGCACGAGGTTGCACAGCCTGAAGCAGCGTTCAGGTGCCAGGCTCGCCGGCACTGGCTGGCCGGGGTCAGGCATTTTAAACACTCCCAAGCAGAGTACGGGAAAACGGCCATGAGCTGAAAGACAGATTCTTCTTTAACGTAACACTTCCAACAGCTCTGGTCTTGGTCTTGAGAAAAGATGGCTTCCCAGCCCTGCAGGAATGGAAAGGGAAGCTGAGGGCAGAGGGTTGTGGAGAGGTGACCAAACAGGAGTTGTGGAAATTCGGGTCAGAGTCCCAGCCCCGTGCCCTCGGACACGTCTGGCAGCCTCTCCCAGCCTCCGCTTCCTGCTCTGTAAAGGGAGGGACTGAACCAGGGACCTGTGGTCCCATCCTGCTCAAATGTTTCGCTTCATGCATTCGTCTGTTGTATCTTCAAAGGAAGGCGGACTGCCCAGGCCTGCCACTTGGGGGCTGGGTGACCTTGGGCACCTTCTCGGCACCTTAGTCCCCTCACGTATAACCTGGGGGCATTAACAGTGTCTACCTAATAGTGCTGTCGGTAACAGTAGCTCCTTCCCAGAGCTATGCGAGGAGCACATGGCTACTATGACTGGAAGCCCTTAGAATAGAGCCCACGGCACTTGGTAAGGGCTCCATAAGTGGCGGCAGTCATTGTTACTTGTCACTGCCACGACCCTGGGCCCTTTTAACTCTTACGAGTCTGTGGTGGCATTCCTGTAGATCCGTTAACCTCTGGACAAGGTTTTCTTTCAGCAGCATCCTTGTGACCCAGGCCCTGGGAAGGGGCCCCCGGTCCGTGTTCTAACACAATTTCCCGGTGTGTTTCAGGCGGAGGCCAGGCTGGCAGCGAAGCGTGCGGCCCGCGCGGAGGCCCGAGAGATCAGGATGAAGGAGCTGGAGCGGCAGCAGAAGGAGGTAACGCCGACCTCTTCCTGGTTCTTTTCACGGGCGATTTAATGTGAGGTGGAGTGTGTGAGTCAGAGGCACCTGTCCGTCCGACACAGCTCCTGATCGGAACGCCCTGGTGCCTGTGACTTCTGCTCAAGGTCAGGCCAGGGAGGGTGCATAGCACAGATGCCGAGCATGCCTGTCCCAGGCGCCCGGCCTGCGGGATCCGGACGGAGCCACCTGCCTGCATACTAGTAGGTCCACCCAGCCTGGCTTTCTGGCTCTGCACTTCAAGGTCTGTCTTCTGAATTAAAAATAGGAAAGAAGAACAGACGATTGGGTTTTTATACTAACTAAACCGTTTTGTTTAAAAATGTTTCCCCTATAGTTTTACACTTTCTTTAAATTACATCTTTATTGTTGAAAGTATTGATGTAAGTCCCCTTTCCCCACCATTGACCCCTTATAGCCCTTCCCCACTGCCCACCCCAGGCCTTCACCACCCTATTGTCTGTGCCCATACGTTATGCATGTAGCGTACAGACTCTTCCCACCACCACCCCCTTCCCCGGTTTACACTTCTTAATAGGTTTCACAAAGCCTGAAGCCGAGGGCAGTACAGAGCACAGAGTAAGCGCCATGGATGCATAGCCAGGGAGGAAATGGCCGCCCTGGGAGAGCGGAGAGTGGTGTGTTTACACACCTGTGAAAGGTGTTCGCTACTTGTTTTCTTAATCTCGAGCTGGAACCAGAAGTCATGTGGACAGCTGAGGGCTCTCTGCCTGGCAGTGAAAGCTCTGAGCTTTTCCATGACCTTGAGGTCCTGGGGGAATGAGGGTGTCCCTCGCCATGGGACCCTGTGCTCCTGTGGGCCACGCCCTTGGAGACCATCCCCACCCCCCACCCCCCAGGCCCCACCGAAGGCTGCACTTGTTCAGAAAATTCAAATGGAGTGTGTGGGAAAGAGCGGCAAGCTGCCTTCCCCGGGGCTGGCTTGTGTACACAGTCTTGTTTGGTGGCTCAGGCAAATTGTAAGAGTCCAGCTGATGTTCTAAAACTTGTGAGATTTCAGGGGAAAAATCTAGATTTCCAGGTTCTCTTAAAACCATTGCAGATTCCGCCACTTTCCTGTAGGGTGAGACTCCAGACATCGGTGACTCGGGGTCACTTTCTGCCTGAGGGGCCTGTCACTCCCTGTGGAGGTGTACCCCTGGGGGAGGGTCATGGCCAGAGATGAATATGGGGAGGAAACCCATCCTTGTGGTTTGAGGAATGGGTAGAAGGTCATTAGAAACTCCAGCCCGGAGAGGACCAGGTCCTGAGAGGCCACCCCGCACAGCGTTGTTGGGAAGTGACTGTGTTGTAGGTTGCACTTGTGAACATGAGCTAAACAAGTGTTTGCAAGTAGGTTCTCCTCCTTGTTGGAAATAGAAATACAGTTGGAAGCAAGTTCTGGTGTTCATGGTATAGATTTAACTTAGTACTTCAATTGTTTGTACTTTTTTCTCTTAAGTCACTGGAAGGAGCGTGGGGTTAGCGTTTTCTCACAGGGCCCTGCCCCCTAGAGTTGCATTGATCAATTTAAAATTGGAAAAATGATTCGGACTTTGAAACTTCCTGAGGCCCAATGATTCTCTGGAAGCACCTTCCTGTCTGTTATCTTGGTTGAAGGCAAGGACTAGAACCTGGTCAGTACCTGCCCATGAACTCGGGGAAGGGTAAGGGGAGGGGGTGTGAGCCACACAGTGGGCAGAGGCCCATTCTCAGGATGCATCACCATTTGCGGAGGCAGATGCCAGCACCACAAGCCTCCCCTCCCCCCTCGGTGGCTAATGGTTTTGATCGGCTTTCCCAGTTGCTCCAATAGCTCCCAGTCCTTTTTATATCGAGGTCTTAAAAGAGCTCTAAGAAGAATTTGTCCCAAGTTTCTGTTGCTGTGCCAGGTTTTGCCACGGTGATTGAGTTTCAACACGAGATCGCCCCTCCTCCCCTAACTGTCCTCTGAGCTGTTGTTGGGGTTGCACCAGCAGCTCAGGAGAGAGGGGACAGTAAGGCTTAGGGGTCTGACCTTGGTGTTCATGGTGGTGTTAGTCACTATTTTTATAGCTTTTCTCACATTTAAGAGAAAGTGACTTTCACCAAGTATACAGTGTAACATTTGTACAAAATCAGGATGAAAATGAGTTACAGTGTATGTCAAGCATTTCAGACTCGTGGCTGGCAGGCCGCATGCCTTGGCCCCTGTGTGTACATATCTGTCTTCCAAATTATACGTTTAGATAAAATATATCCTCTCCTTATTTACAGACAGAATTAATTTAAATGTGCACTTGATAACCTAAGCAGGTTCTTGCAAAGTTCTTGATTTAGAGAATAAAAATGAAGTGGAATTAAGCCAGGAAGCCATGTGTTTGAATGGTTTCCTTTAAACACCCAGCCCTGTTTCTCTGTTTGAGTCAAAGGAAGTCATCTTCTGTTTCATTTTAATTCTACAACCTACGATAACCCTGCCTGGTAAGTCACGGCCCTTTAATCTCGGTAGTGCGAAAGGGGCCTTGGTGGCTGTCACACAGGGCTGGGCACCCCGAGGACAGCAGGGGCTGGCACCTGAGTGTTTACAGGGCCCAGGGCCCATGAAGCCTGGCCTGCCCTCGGGAGTTTGGCTCCTGCTAAGGATCTTGGGCTTTGCAGAGAAAAGCCGATTAAAACCTGGGGAACCCGGTTAAAAAAAAATGCCACTGTTGCTCCCTCGCTCATACACACAGGTCGCATTTAGTCAGTAGATGGCATTGCGATTTGAAATTCTTCATCGTATTGGTGTGTTTCACTCCCATTGTAAAGACACCAGTGGTTCACAGGGGCCAGAGGTTTTTGTCACGATTCAAGTTCATGGACCATCTCACACGAAGGCAGTCTGGTCGTTTGAGTCCTCTCGGCACTCAGCTCCCCAGCACAGATGCCCGAGACATCGGACAGAGTTTCCATGTGTGAGGTTGAGCCATGGGAGGAGAGGGAGGGCACCGTGGCCTCCCTGTGAGGAAACACCTTAGGTCACGTCATTTTTTTATCTGTCCCGTGTGCATCGTGTGTCTGTCCGTGTTCACACTCCACGGGCAGGGACACTGTGAAGACGCCTCCGCTGCTGAACTTGAACTCCCACTGGGGTCAGGTTGCAGCCTGGAGACCAGCCCCCATGCTGTGAGGGGCCGGGTTGTGCAGTGACAGCCCGTGTGTGTTCAGGGGGAAGGGGAGACAGGGACTCGGGTCAGCACAGCCCATGGGGACCTCTCCCGAAGGCAGCCGAGAGCCGAAAAGCCCGGTGGCGCCTGGCAGGTGAGCGCAGAGCCCGGCAGGGATGCAGGGTGGGGTGGAGGCCAGCTCCATCCTGGGGTTCATGGCATCACAGGAGCCCAGCAGTGCTGACTCACACAGGCAACAACTTTGCTCTCATGCATGCAGGGTCTTCGAGGTCGGAGCGCCCCGCACTGAAAGTGTGCGTTGAAATAAATCAGAGGTGTCTTTTACCGCTGGTCCCGGAGAACTGAGTGGGGCAGAGGGGAATGGCAGGGCCATCCCGGAGCCCCCGCCGTGCGGCAGTGCTGGCCTGGGGACTGTTCCTCACACCCTGTGAGGGGGAGTTCGGGTCTTATTGGCAGGTGAGGAAGCCAGGCCTTGGAGAGGTGGGTGGTTTTACCCGTAGCCAAGAAAATAGCCAAGGTTTCCATCTCGAACTGAAAAAGCTGCAGAGCTTGCAGTCTTCACAGTGCACCCTCTGCCTCAGGATGAGTGTATGCTCAGCAGTGAGAGCAAACAGAAACAGAGGGCAGCTTTGCCGTGGGATGGAATTGGCTGGGAGCGTGCTGGCACTCGAAGCAGAGGGGGCCGGGTGAGCTCACAGTCCTGGTCTTTCACAAGTGGAAGCGCACCTTGCAGAACAAGTTTTTCTCTCGGTGCTGAGCCGAAGGAACAGTGTGATCCACACAAACTAGGCAGTTTTATTAACAAGAGCGTCACAGAGAACGTGGAAGCAGTAGCCGCTCACCTGCTGTTTCTCGATCGGACCACGTCCGGGAGAAAGGAGCGACGGATGTGCCTGTGGGCACCTCCAAAGCGGGTCTCGTCACCAGTTCAGATGGGGGACTGGCTTCCTTAGCCTCGCTTTGGACTGTTTGAGCGTTGTGAGGATTCACTAAGGAAGGAGATACGTAGATATTCTTTGGGAAATCCAAGTGGACCTTTTGTTTCCCCTGAAAACCTGCAATCATAGGAAAACGGTGGTGATACAATGACCAGGGTGCGCCTGACCTGGTAAACAGTTTGTTGGGGATATTGTTTGAAATAGTCATCATGTGGAATGTACACCCCTGTCTATGCTCCCCCATGTGCCAGTACAAATGCCAAGTTTCCAGGCCTACCGTTTGGCAGTGCCGTGAACAATGCCCAACTCAGTCCCTGTTTCGTCGGCTGAGTGAGTGAGTGAAGCAGGTATCTCTTACCTAATGATTCCTGTGAGATTAGGAGAAACCTCTGAAGCAAACTGCTGGGTCAGCGTAAGATAATAAGCTTTTAAAAGTACATTTCAGTTCTGTTCTAGAGCCACTCTGCCTCCCTGGAGATTGTCTGGTGTTCTGTCTGCATCCCCAGGAGGGAGGACAGGCGAGCACCGTTCTTTACATTTGTGGGTTTGACCCTTTCACTCTCTAATCAGGTTTCTGTACTTTTTTGTTACTCTTTTTATCACTGTGAGAAGGACAATTGAGGACAAAGTCTCTTGTCCCATTCGTGGTAACAGGTTACAGACTCCAGTCTTAGCATAATGCCAGAATTCTCATGGAGACTCAGTTGAGCATGCCGTGTTCTGCTGATCTATCTATAACGAATGTCAGGTAGAGTTAAGAAATGAGACTTCAAACGTTTTTTAATTCGTACTTTACCAATCAGTCACTGTTTCCCCCTCCCCCAATGTACATTTACTCATATATATCTGGGTACTTGTAAAACCTTTCTGTCTGATGTATCGACTTTTT